GCTGTTTTTTACATCAGGCATATAGGATTTGGAGATTGCCCTGCTGTGTTCCAGTCTTTCTTTAGTCTGGTATTTCCTCATTATGCCCGCATTTCTCCCTTTTGAAATGGTAATGTATATTCTATAGTATTGTATGTTGGAGATAAATGATTTGCATTTTCATTTTACAAAGGGTTATAAGAGATTGCCTTGAACCTCAGAAGAGATTTTGGATTTTTAAACTGTGTTGCTGGAGTAAAATGCATTTTGCCTTAAAAGGCTATAAGCCTATGGGGACCAGGATTGGAATGTGGTGGTTTGAATGAGAATGGACCCCATGGGCTCATATGTTTGAATATTTGGTCTCAATTGGTAGAACTGTTTGGCAAGGATTAGGAGGTGTGGCCCTGTTGGAGAAGGTGTAACACCGGGGGTGGGCTTTGAGATTTCAAAAGACTCATACCATAACCAGTCTCTTTATGCCCGCCTCCACCTTGTTGAACAGGATGTAAGCTCTCATTTACTGCTCCAGTAGCATGCCTGCCTTCCTGATGCCTTGCATGGTAATGAAGGTCATGAACTCTAACTCTCTGAAATCTAGTTACCTTAGACATGGTATCTTATTTCAGCAATAGCATAGGAGCTGATGTCCCCCCCCCCCCCGCCCCTGTAGGACTATGTCAGGTTTTCAATTGAGGAAAAGAACAGGAAAGCACATTCACAGTTTCTTTTGGTCACATTGCATAATCCAAATTAAATAATTATAAGCCAATGTTAAAAAAATCAATAATTTAGCAGTGTTAATCTTATATTGAACTACTGATAAAAATAAATGACGTCAGGTTCATTTTGTGTTAACCATTAAGTGAGGAACATTCAGAAGTTGACTTCCAGCACTTCCAGCACAAAATAGTTTTCATGCATATCTTTCTTATATTCTATCTACCATTCTATTAAATTAGCAACATATGCTATAGATTCTTCCCATCTTTTGGGGAGAAGATAATCCAGTGGCCATATATATTGTCTGATTCTAGTCAAAGTTAGCACTTTGAATGTTAAATCCTTATATAAAATTGGAATATCAATATTCCCTGTGTCTAGATTTGTTGACTACTGAATGAAATAGTACATTTTATATACCTGTCAGGATGTAGGACACATATACATATACAATATCTACTATTATTGCATACAATATTACCATTGATATTAATTTTCAGCACACCACATGTCCCTTTGAGTTAGCTTAGAATCCTAAATTAACTACAGAGTAGTTAGCAATATCTTTTTATATATAATTTATAATGAAGAAATTCTATGAATTAATTTCACTTAAAGAATTGATTCTCCACATCTATGGGTTAAAGAATAAAGCCACTGATGCTAACAATGAGTAGCACTCACTAAGTTCACGATAATTAAAGTTTGCTTTTAATAAAGAGCCAATGAAAAATACATAGATTGTAAATGGTTATGTTTGCTGTCTTGTATCCATGCTTGAGATTTTAGTTACGGCACAAATTGAAAAAGTGATCTAGTAACTCAATATAACATTCAAAGAGGAGTGGATGTTTGGAAACATCTTTACCTTTTTAAAAGCATTTTTAATTGAAAAAAATTTCACACAGTATATTCTGATCATAGCTTCTCCTCCCCAAACTCATCCTAGATCTTCCCCACTTCTCCACCCACCTAACTCCATGTTCTTTCATTATCTGTCTCTTTAGGAAACAAACAGGCAAAGAAAGAAAGGAAGGAAGAAAGAGAGATAAACAAAGAAAAAACACAAACAAACCAGAATTGAGAAAACACAAGAAACACATAATCAAACACACACACACACTAAAAACCCATAAAACACAAAACCATAAGCCATAATATACAAGCAAAAGTCACTTAAGTTAAAAAAAAAAAAAAAAAAAGCTCAAACAAAGCAATGTGAGACAAGAAGTTTGCGAAAACATCAATGAGTTCATTTTGTGTTGGTAATCTATTGCCGGGCATGGGGTCTGCCCTTAAGTGTGGTTAATATACCCAGTGAGACTCCATTTGAGAAAACTATAATTTTTCCTTTGTAAATGTCAATTGGAGATTATGTCTTGGTTAGGAGTGAGAACTTGTGTCCACTTTCTCCTTTCAGCACTGGAACCATGCCTGCTTGAACTTTTGCAGGCTGTATTTATGCTATTACAGTCTCTGGGAGTTAATATGTATGTAAGTCCTGTTGTGTCTGGACGACACAGTTTTCTTGGAGTGATTCATCCCCACCAGCTCTTGTGACCTTTCTGCCTCCTCTTCTGAGTAGCCCCTTGAGCTTAGAGGTGAGGGGTTTGATCAAGACATCTCATTTAGTACTGTGTGTTCCAAAATCTCCTACTGTCTACACTGTTCAGTTGTGGGTCTCTGTATTAGTTTCCATATACTACTAAGAGTAACCTTCTCTGATGTTGACTGAGCAAGGTACGCTGGGAATAGCAGAATGTCATCAGGAGTCACCCTGACTATAGTATTTGGTTTACTCCTACACCCATGGCCTATCCAGTCTCAGATTCTTGGACACCCAAGCAGAGTTAGGCATGGGTTCCATCTCATAGAGTTGACCTTAAATCCAACCAAAGAATGGTTGGTTATTTCTATAATGTTTGTGCAGGCAAATCACCATTGTACAATGTACAATGTACATTTGTACAATGTAGTACAGGCAAATCACCATTGTAAGATCTCAGGGGTTGTAGCTGGACTGACATTTCTTCTCTGGTAGAATGCAGAATACCTTCTAATACAATAAACACTAGTCAGTATGGATGAAGACTGTAGCTAGGCACCAGCTTAACTTCTCTATGTTCAATGTGATATATAAGTGTTGTCTTCAGCAGCTGGGACTTAACATCAGTTTGTGGAGAGCAGGCAATAGCCTTGGCAATAGTCTGAGATATTTGGGGATTTCCTTTGGCCAAAGACTCAGCTAGATGTAACCCATTCCTGCCTAGCACTGGAGGTTTCATTTGGTGCCAAAAGATGTCTAGTTGGGGAATTCTCTCTCCCATTATTTGGTGACTCCATTTAGACTTTTCATATATATATATATATGGAAACCTTTACAGTAGTACATTTCCATATGACCTCCAAAGTGGCTCTTATTGTTAGTTGTCTTTCTCTGTATCCTTTTACTTATACCTTTCTTCTATCCTCTCCATTAAATCTTCCTACTCTAGTCTTCTGACTGTTTCTCCATAGAAGGAAGACCCTTTCCTACTCCTTAGTCCCTTACTCAATACCTAACTCCTGTGGTTATATGTATCATAGCATGCCTGTTGAATACTTAAAATCTAACATCTACATATAATAGAAAACATAAAACATTTGTCTTCTTGGGTTTGTGTTACCTTACTTAGGATGATTTGTTCTAGCAAATTTCATAATTCCATTTTCAACAGACAAATAACATTCCATTGTGTAAATGGAATATTTTCATTATATGTCCATCCACTGATGGACATCTAGGCTGTTTGTTTTGAAACATCTTAGTGATGCCCTCTGTTTTAGTGGGTTTTAACATTCTTCAATAATCATAGGTTCTTTCATGGTAAGTGGTTTTATTAAACTCATGATCTGAATCTTCTGTTGGCGTTATGAATCAACATTTGAAAGAGAATATTGAGGACCAAGATTAGGTGAATATCATTGTACCATTTCAAACGAGAAGAGACGTATGCAGGCACCGGAAGCAAGGATGGAAAGGAGAAGGAAACATCGATGAGACCCACGACATGTGGCTGAGTTTGTGAACTTTGATGTCCAGTGGGCTTGGGGGCTAAAGGAGAATAAAATTTAGTGGTCCTGATGGTTTCTGCCTTGTGAGGACAATGCTTTCACTAATTTTAGGGCTTAGCCCATGTTTGTCATTTCAAAAGATCCTTCATGAGGAGAAAACACTTGAGTGGGGTGTTCTTAGACTTAAAGTGAGTGGAGGAGTGGATAGGTGTCGCAAAATGATTTATCAATCTGAATTATGTTTCAGCATTTGGCCTTGGACTCTCTCAAACACTATTCATTCTAAATACGATTCCAAACCTAAAGTTCAGAGCACACCTATTGGATTTGTCTTGTTCTTTCCTATACTCTCTAAAGTGAGCAGAGGCAATAAAATGCTGCACCAAGGTACTAAACAGGGAAACAACTATCATTTGAGGTTTATAGATATGAAAAGAAATACCTGCATCTTTCCATTAAAAAAAAAAAAACAACAAAAATAGCAACAACCTTTTTTCCTTAGCCTAAATAAGGTGGGTACATTTCATGCTCTAGAAATGCCTCAGACCTTAGGGTATAAGTAAGGGTGGCTACTGTGGCCAGACAGCTGCTTGGTCCCAACTTTTAGATCTGACTTCCGGTTTGCTGGGTCTCTTTGTGCTCATGGTTGAGATGTGAACTTTCAGGTCTCAGCTTCCAGCTCCAGCTGTGGTGCCTGTCACCTGCTACCTGCTGTCATGCTATCCTGCCATTATGACTCTAGCCCTCCAGAGCCATAAGCTCAAATAACCCTTTCCTTCTATAAGTTGCCTTAGTGATGGTGTTTTATCACAACAGAAAAGTAATGAGTACAAGTAGTTTTTAGAGTAATTAACAAATGGAAAGATCTGGACAAAATTCTCAAAGAATAGCTTTAGGTTAAGCTTTGGGTTCTGTTGGATCACAGTGACATTGAAAATGCCTGACTTGTCCTATGCAACACATGAGTTTTGGCAGTGAAGGAAATAATGCATGTGAACACACTTTGCAGGACTATAAAGCTTTGTGCACCCCCATACTTTATTACTGTTTTGAGAACTACAGTTGATAGAATTACATCAGTGTTTCCTACAGTTGCTTATGAGTACTTTTTCCTCCAGAGAAAAGCAAGACTTTTTCTTCCTCTGTATGCTACTAGTACCCCAGCCACTTCCTGCTATTTTTTTTCACATATGCTGAGATCTGAGGTTTCTGTTAGCCCCTCTCTGTTGCTTGTGTTACCGTGCCCCTCTCCATGAGTGCACAAAAATACATCGCAGCATCCTCCAGCTGCGAGTCTGAGATCTCGAGGCTGAAGGACTTCACTGCTTTCTGGAAGTTCACGGAGAAGCGGTTCTCAGTTGCATTCTGCTGCTTATAAGCTTCTTGGCGAATAACGAGAGTCATCTGCCCCCTTAGCTGTCTGTACCAGAACAAGTAATAACTGGTGTCACTCGTGTCGTATGTGCAGTCCAGGGTTACCGACTCTGCCTCCTGCACGGACTTTTCCTGCTGAGGTTGAGTGACTGTCTGGGCCATGCTGGCTCCTGTGGAAAAGAAGAGGGAAACGACTCCACTGTGGTGTCTGTCGGCGAGAGAAACACTCAACCTGGTTCCTATCCTTATCTACCTTTCCTCTTGATTCCAGTGCCAGGCTTATGCTTCCCAGAAGCTGCACGTGATGAAGATGGTTTCAGAACCCAGTGCTGTTAACCCATTTCCTATTTCCCATTCCTAATGAATACCAGTAAAAGCAAACGTGTTTGCCTTCTTACCAAGATAGGTGGAAACCAAGAGCGTCCGCAGCAAGCATGCCCATGCCATGCTGGAAGCCCGATTCTGATTCAGTCCTTGCTACTAGCTAGACTGGAAACATCACTCTTCTGAAACAGGAAATGGTAAGCTGAATCGCTGTCACTGATGATATCTCACTTAGAAAACTTGTCAATGTGTCTTATCTCACTCATCAGAGAATAAATTTTTCTCAAGTGAAAAAAAGATATTATGCTCAGAATCAAACATTCTCTGGAATAGAACAGAAAATAAGAAAGTGGCAAATTGTATTTATAAAGACACAATGTTGGGGGAGAAGCCAGCCTTGTGGTGCACACCTTGATCCCAATACCCCAGAGGGGAGGTAAAGATAAGATCTCCATGTCTGAGGGCATCCTGGTCTACATAGTGAGTTGCAGGACAGCCAGGGCTATGTAGAAAGACTGTCTGAAAAAACAAAATCATAGCCCCCCCCCCCAAACAAAATAAAACAAACAAAAAACCTCTGGTGGTAGTAGTGTGGATAAGGAGAAGACAGTCAAGGCTACAGTAATGCCTAAGTTTTCAATGAACATTTTTCTTTCCCTCTTCTTTTTCCCCTCTCCTTCCCTTTCTCTCTTTCCACTTCTGTTTCCATCTGAAAAGTTGATATCATAAAATAGTCAGGTATAAATTTGACCAATAATTAAAAGATATGATATGTAAATGTGGACATGTGCCATGACATGTCTATGGAGGTCACAGGGCAACTTTTGGAAATTGCCTTCCACCTTGTTCTGAGGCAGGATTTTCTCATTATTTCTGCCACTGTGCTGTGTATGGCAGGGAAGCTGGCTGGTTATCCTATGAGATTCTCCTGTCAGTACCTCCCAGCTCACCGCATGAACACAGGCATTTCAGATACATTCCATTGTCTCTAGCTTCTCATGTGGTTTTAGGGATTTGAATTCAGGTCCAGGTATGCAGCAAATGCTTTCACTCACTGAGCCACTTTCTCAGACCCATGACCAATAATGTTTTGATGGTTTGAGACATAATTAACATAATTCCTTTGGTGACAACATTCAGATAACGAAGACAATTGAAGGAATTTGAATACTAATTGCAGTGTTATTTGCGGAAGATATTTTCTTTTGTGAGAAATACCTGGCTTTGGTTATGTCAAGGACCTTTACCATACTGGTGGCAAGCATTGTTGTGAAGAGTTTTATGAATGTTGTTTCTTCATGATTTTATGGAGAAAACAGCATAGCTTATTTATGAACATTCTTTACTACATATTTGACAGCTTGTCATCAGCATTTCACTGTTCTTTAGACACTTTTTTTTCTTTGAGAGAGGAAAGGGCACAAATTACAGTCCTTATTTTATAATGAGGCACCTGAGCAAAAATGGGAATCTACAATGCTGAGAACTGTGAATCTCATTTACATGAATTTTCCCCACCTGCAGAATCGGTGTCAGCTGGTTTTGTCACAGCTACCTCCCTCCACAGTGTCAGGCCTTCTGTCAAGGCCTCTTCCCTCCATAACACCAGACAGGGAATAGAAGATCAAATGAAATGCTGTAGAGTGGTGGCCCCAATGCCCCCATCTTGCTTGTTATTTCCACTTGGTCCACTGAGGGTTTTGTATGTATGTATATATGTATGTATGTATATATATATATGTATGTATGTATGTATGTATGTATGTATGTATGTATTTTTGGCAGAGATGTCTCCCTGAGGAGAACTCCTTAGAGCACACTTGTTTACTGGTTTATGATGGGAGATGCCATTATGTATATATGTTTCTCATACTGGTTAATGAATAAAGCACTGTTGGCCAATAGGAAAGCAAGATAGGAGGGACTAGGAGACAAGGAGGAAAGAGGAAGGAGTAAGAAGGAGAGCCAAGATGGAGAGTCGGGAGAAAGCAGTATGCTGGCCAGCTCCCCCGTAAGAGAAATACATAGATCAGCAGAAATGGGTTAATAATTAAGGCAGAGCTAGCCGATAAGAAACAAGTAACTGGGCCAACAGCATTGTATCAAATACAGAGTCTCTGTGTATTATTTGGGGCTGGCGCTGCAGCAGGAAAAGACCAGGCGGCGGGTGGAAAAACTGTACTCCTTACAGGTTTACGGTGGAAGCCTCAGGAAATTTTTACAGATATGGTAAGGGCCTCCAGTTTCCCTTTACCTGTCCAGCCTCTTACAGGTGCTTCCAGGTGACAGGGCTGCATTCATTTCCTAACTCAAGCCCAGCTCAAGGTGTGCATTTACTAACGAGGGTCTCCCCACCACCGCTTTCCTGATTCGCTGTGCCTGCCAGGTCTCAGATCAGCAACTCCATCTTGCTCTTGGTAGCTTCTCCTGGCTCCCTGGGCCCACCCAACAAAACTTTAGAATCTGATAATCTGATAATCACCATCCAACCATTTCCTAGTGAAGTTATTGAACTCTGAAAATTCAACAAGATGATGTATACAATCGAACTTTCAAGTGGGTAAATTCAGAGTGAGGATAGGCAGAGGCAATCGATGAAAAGTTCCCGTGTTCAAGCTTGGACAAGCAATCCCACGTGGCAATTCTGGTCACAAGGTTTCACACCACAGTTAGACATAGAACTCGAGAAACACCCGTGAATGCCACACACCTACTGTCAGATGCCGAAGGCAGGCACAGATAGATGCCAGTGGCACAGAAGGGACACGCTGCCCTCTTAGTTGGCAGTTGATTGAGAAGTACCAGGGTTTTCAGTCATGAGCATCATCTTGAGGGGCCAGGCACATTCCCTGGTAGGAAGGAGGGCTGTAACTAGGTAACAAATATGGTAAATTTCGAAGTTATCAAGATGTCTTCTTTCTCTCCTCTGATAGCTTTGTGGGTTTTTTCTCCTGCTGATGGACTGGCTCCACGGGTTTGAGTCGAATCAGGACATGTCACAAAGTGGTTATGGGTAAACTGGCCATCCTATCTTCCTTCAAACCAATCAGCCTTAAGTTAGAGGAGGAAACTCTTCAGACACCTAAACACCCAGCCCTCTAGAGTACACAGGAATGCCATCCCCTTTCTTTTTTTGTGGAAGGTCTGCTGCATGAATGGGTTTCTTCACCCCCAACAAAAGCCTTTCTTCAGCTGTTGATCCTGTCAGCTCCTGTTTGCTGTGTTCCAGATTTCTCTTCTGCTACCTGTTGAGTTCAAGATTTTTCCTGCCTTTTAGTTAACTGGCAGAGAAAACAGACCTGATCAAGATAGCTAAATGGTAATCTCATGCCCAGTGTCCACGTAACTCAAATTTACACGAAAACAAAGTGAACAAAACACTTTGAACAAGTTTTCCTAAAAGGTTTTGTGCTGTAGTAGCTCACAATTTATCTTATCAGAGAAGGCAATAGAGACTGTCTACTAAGTTCTGATTGCACCTGAGTGTCCCCCAGGAACATGATTTCTGCGGCATAGTTAGGTGGTTCGGCCTCTTGACTGTGAGGCCTTATGGGAAGGGAATGGTGGTTCTGGTCCTCCACTGTGGTGGGAGGGACAGCAGCCCCACACAGCTCTGAATAACAAGGACAGAATCATCCCTGAGTGTGGGGCTGGGACACTGCTTAGAAACTTGCAAGGCATCCCTTTGTGAGTGATCAGTTGGGAAGCACTGGGGGCCAATTTAGTTAAAAATGTTAAAGAGTTCATTTAAACATTATTTTTTTCTTTTGTGTCTTCTGTAAAAGAAAGACCAGTTCTTAGTCCTGTAGAGTCCTGATGAAATGAATCTTAAGCTCATCCAAGCCAGAGCTGCCAGGTAACAGACATAGCTCCTAGAAAGCATCTCTATGTTTGGCCTTTAAAGTCATGGAAAATTTAGTTTTTGTGTAAATGTCTGACACCAACTGTCCAGATATGGGGATCCCTGATATGTATGTGTTCTTTGGGTGAGTATCAGTGATGTAACTTTTTATAGATCAACTTCTACAGGTTAAGTGTTAGTGCAAAGACGCAGCACCCTCTTCAGGTTAAGGACATAACTACTCTGATCATTGGAATTTACTTCTAAGAAAGAATTTGATTGCATCAAGAAATCTGTTTAGGAGTCTGCTGTCAAGCTTGAGGACCTGAGTTCAAACCCTTGGACCCACATGTGGAAAAGTGAACTGACTCCTGCAAGTTGTTCTCTGACATACACTCTGTGATGTGTACCTCTCTCTTTATCACATAACATAAATTAAAGATAAATAAATAAAAAATCTATCATGAAAGCAATGTGATTTTCAGATTTATATTTATGCCAAATGTAACTATATATTTAAAATGTACCAAATTATTTTCCTTATCACTGTTTTTAAGTCTTACCTTTTACCATGCCTTTGCTCCTAAAGGAATCCTGTGACCACACCAGAATACTCATTTAATTTTTTTTTTTTTTTTTTAAATTCTGATACAGGGCCTTTTGTAGTTTAGGCTGGCCTTGAACTGCCAATGGAGTCTGGGGTGACCTTGAATTCCTGATCCCCCTGCCTCCATTTACTAAGTGTCAGGATTACAGGCATGCCCTGCATTCCCCAGTGGTGTTAGGTAATGCACTCAGGCCTTTCTGCATGCTAGGCAAATGCTCTACAGACCTAACTGTATTCCCTAGTCTCCAATGACTCTGTTTAATGTTCTTCCAAGAGTATAGAATGATTATAGAATGAGCACAATCTTAGAGATTTGTTAACACATGTCGAACACTGTGATCTTGGTGGGATGGATCCTCATAGAGATGTTACTTCATGACATCATGTGCTTAGCGGAGGAAGGGTGAGTGCATCTCAAGATGGTATGTCATACAGAGCTGAATGACTTTGTTCAGAGTCAGTGCTGAATGACATTGGAAGAAAAGGACAATTCTGTTACCCAGAGAGGACAGAGCTGGAGCTAACAGTGAGCTTGAGGCAGTGTGGGTCAGTGAAGAAAATAAACTGTTAAACAGGGGTATTTGGGGAACAGCTAGGAATGCAGTTTAAGTAAGGGAGGCAAGTTGACTTAGGGGGACACCACAGTGACAGTTAGGGGAGTACAGAGTTAGTAAG